ATGATTCTATGATTCTATGATTGTAATTCCAGAAAGGTTAATATACTGACTAGGGCAGCAGAAGGATGTATAGGGTTGTTCCAAAAGTTTAATTATTTGCTTATGCTACTTGATCTTGTCTTTTCAGAAGTGTCTTATCAACATAGTGTCATGAGCAAATTTAATAATTGATAATTAGTGTGGTTCTTTGAAATAAGATGTAGTTGGATCAATGGGAAACATACTGTGTCAGTACAGTGACTACGCTAGTGAGAGTCACTTCTGCTGCAGCATATCTGAATTTAGGCAGCCACTGTGATCCTGACATGCTAGAATGTGGCTAAACAGCTACCCCATCCTTCCTTGATGGCAGCTTCCTTTGCAGCGGGAGAAATGACCACCCTCACCAAGATAAGAGTCATCATACTAACACTCTGTGTCTGACATTGATCCACAACTTCTTTCTAGTTAGAAGCCTTCTATCACTCACATTTCACAAATGCAAAAGATGAACAAAAAAAAGTGACCTACTGACTTCTATAAGGTAGGGGAGAGGGTCCAGCCCCAAATGCTTTTGGGCAGGAATACCAAGGGACCGTGTCCCTGTACCCCAAATGCCATGGGGATAGAAAAACACACTACAACAATCACTGCTGCCATAGGGCACACAGTGCCCTACAGAGGGCAGGAAGAACAGTTTACCAATAAAGAGCAGCTTGCAAGGCATCACCTCTAAGGAGAAAATGGCCAGTTTCATCCTTTTGTCCTTCACAAGTATGTACTCACAGGAGTAATGAGAGGGGTCCTGGGCATGAACTTGGCCTCCCATTCCCTGCTGATCTCACTAGTCACCCACAAACAGACCCTGTGATGACAGCACTAGAAGAGTTGGACCATGAGGCCCTAAGGGATGCAAACAGCATTATCAGAGCCAGGATTAAAATGCAGGTTCTCTCCGTTTCTTCCATTCACACCACTCCATCAGCAAGAGTCATTCCTCCCTTACACAGCCCTACTCCCAGTAAGAGGACTGAACATTGTGCCTGGCACTGCACATTACCATTTTGGCTTGCTCCACTGGAGTCACTTTGGGCCAACGGAGGGGGGTGCGATTTATCCATCAACACAGCAGGAGACGGGACACCAGCTACAGGAACACTGGGTATGTAGTATGGACCTGGCATGGAAGAGACTACAGGAGGGTACCCAGCTTTTGCTGCCTTGCCTGCTAAATACACTGAAAAAGAATAAAAAAAAAACAATGGCAGTCAGCATCACACCAGCTTCCCACAGACCCACACAGCATGTGGCTGAAACCTGCACATCACCAGCACTGGTGGCAACCCAGCAGGAGACAACTGGACAAATGAAATTACAAGGACCAATCTGAATTTCTCTAAGCCTCAAAGGGCATGGACAGGAGTTTAAAAAATGCACATGCGCAGGTCACGTGAACACTCCAACCGAAGGACCTTCAACGTGTTACAGCCAGCATCACCCCCACCATGATTTAGTGGCAGGTCAGCTTTAAAAACAACTGGTGACTCAAGTAGCAGAGATGAGGCTTACAAAACTTGACAGATCTGCCTGAGCCTGAACAGGAACCATGCTGGGTTGCAAGGATTTTTGCACTGTCATAGAGGGAAGCTGCTTTGCATTGCCAGGAAGAATCCTCCCAGGATGCTCTTAGCTCTGACCCACAACATTCAGTGACATGACAACAACTTTGGAAGGCAAATGTGACGCTTGGGAGAAGCAGGCAGAGCTGTCAAGGCAAGGAGGGCTCAGGGAATCACATTTGTAATTAACTTTGAGCGCTCAGCCATTGAGCAATAGGTCAGATGCTTCACCCCCTAAGAATTAGTTCTTTAGTCAAGCAAAGGACTCAGGGCAAAGGAGGCAATATCAGCAAATTCTCCTGCTCTTCCACAGAGCAGCAGAAGCGCACAAGATTATTTGCACCAGGCTTGGACAGGGTCACTCACATGCCCGGGGACAGCAGCAGGACTCAGGACAGCAGGGGCAGCGGACGTAACAGCAGCAGCTGTGTGGGCAGCACTGGCACCAGCAGATCCCCACCAGAAGGAAGAACAGGAATGCTCCCAGGATCACCAGGCCTACAAAGACCCACTCTGGAAAACAAGGGGAGAAAAAGAGTTACTTACAAGATTGCAGTCACTGTGGAAAGGAACCTCAGCAACATCCTCCCAGGGCAGAGCATATGGGCAAAACAGATAGGTGAATAACAGAAGTGGACTCCCTGTGGGTCTAGGACTATGTCCCTCTCTGTGTGGAAGCAGAAATGGAATGACAGTAAGAAATGGAGCTACAGAAATGTGGTCCCTTCTTGCAATGTCTCTGGCTGGCTGAGAGTTGAGCAGCACAGATGTAGGAGCACTGGTTCTCCAGCAGAGAAATCCTTCATCCCAGAGCAGACCTGTATGAATGCTGCAGGACATGCTCCATCAACATTTGCATCTCTGAGAGACTCATTCTTCCTGGCCATGTTCATGCCCTGCTTGTGTGTTTGTTCCCTACCCGCATTCTACTTTTAATGGGACAAACAATGGTGAAAAGCGTGCTATAAATAGCCCAGTAAATGTGCCAGGCCTGCCCCTTCACAACTAGGCCCACGCATGCAATTATCCTTTTGAATGTGCCAAATGAAGGAACATCCTATTCAGGCGCTGCAGTCAGCCAGGAAACCTAACAACCACTCTTCCCCCCAAACCCCCCAAAGCCTTAGATGATGTCTGTCAGGCCCTGTCTGTTCAGTGGCTGAAAAACACCCTACACATAAAAGCACAGGAGATCCAGTCCATAAAAACCACGATGAGGCTTGAATGGGAGGAGTGAGAAAAAGTTCCTCAAACTTTGCTGCTGGGAAATCTCCACACGGGAGTGGGTGCCCAGTCCATGCTGGGGCAGCTCCAGCTCTCCACGTTGGCACTCTGCTTTTTGCAGGAGATGGAATGCACAGGGCTGCATCTACTGCCACGTGGAATTCCCTGGTTTTAAAGGAATGGTCAGCAAGCACATCCAGACCACGGAGTTTCAAGACTCCGAATGTATAAAAGGCTGGGAATTGTTTTTAGGTGATAGATGCACCAACCCTATCTAGAAGTCAGACAGCTGGTGGGGAAAGATTCCAGCTGTACCCAGGTGGTTATTCAACCACCTTGGAAGGATTGTAAGTAAGCAAAGAAAGAAGTGATGGGGCTGCTTTGCAGTGGAGTAGGATTTAGCCCCACCCCAGAGACAAAAAAAAAGCAGTAGACCACTGTTTTTGAAAACTCCAGGGCTCACTACAGGGTCTCCTGGTATATTATTATTTACGATGAATAACTATCGACAGAAAGATTGTAACACGAGTACAGAATCACACTGGAAAAGTAGTGCATCTCTCACCTGAGTTTCTAAGATGAAAAGTCACGGAAAAATGTTCTACTTGGAACAATCAAACAGAAGCTTATTTCTAGCTCTTAATATAATTCAAAAATAAGAACGTTATTTTTAATTAATCCACAGCATTGTTTGAAAAGCTGAAATTCCTTGCTTTGTTGGAATTTCCCTTAATTCTGTTACAAACAAGTCCCTTTTTTAAATGCTATTTTTAAGCTAAAACTTAAAATTTCCTTTAAAAAATGTCAGTGAAAAATTTGGCATTTACAAATCAAAACATTTCATTTCAGAAGTGTCAAGTGAAATGTTGTATTTTTTTTTTAATATTTTATTTCTTTTCTGGCCAAAACAGATGAATTTAATTTAAATGTGCAGACAGTTTTGGTCCTTGTAGAACAATTTTTTTTTTGGTAGTTGCTATATGCTGAGAAAAATTCAGCTAATGAAATAGGAAATGGTTGGAGAGAAGTATTCATGAATGGAAAACTAAGAGCTGAGAGGAAATTACTGATACAGTTCGTCAAGTGCCCATTCTAGGAGCTATCTTATTTAAGATTTTCATGAATGACCTTGACACAGAAAATAAGAATGTCTTAACATATCTTAAGGGTAAGAGGTAAGGAAGCATTGTCACTAAAGATGAAGACTGGGATACATGATGGAAGGGCCAGTTGTCCTTGGGCCTACAATAAGAAACACAAAATGCAGCAATATACTGAATTTCAAGGTATGCAGCAGTACTTTCAAGGTTACATGTCCAAAGATTAAGAACAATTTCTGTTCTGAACAGGACTTCATTAGCTGAAAACAACTGAAAAACAAGAGATATGTATTCCATCATAGGACAACTGTGACCACTTACATAACATGGCCACAAAGATGGCAAATGTAATCCTAGCCATACAGATGAGGAATTTTCAGTGGTGTTAAAGTAATATTAATGCCATCATACAAGGCCTCCATGTAACTTCATCTAAAGTTACTGATGTTACACAGCTCCAGTCATTTTTGTACATAAAAAAGATTAATTCAGGTTGGAGCTGATGAGAAGCAGGGATTTGAGGGGATGAAGGGACATGATGCCTGCCTTGCAGCAGGGGAGCTGAAGCCTGCTGCGTTAGTCTGTTAAAAAGCAGGCTGAGAGCAGACGTAGCTGCTGCCTGTAGATATGCTAGGAGGATGAATGCTAAAAGAAGGTATTATAGTTAAAGGTCTTACATAAATGGGCATAAACAGGTTATGAGTAATGTAAATGGAAGCCAGAAAAAGCACATCAAAGAAAATGATACAATGGGAGAGAGTCATAGAATCGTTAAGGTTGGAAAAGACCTTTAAGATCATCAAGTCCAGAGAGAGAGGCCAGACTCAGACTACGACTCCTAAACTCGCTAAGCTTATGGAAAGGATGAAATTACATGGTGCTCTAGACAGCAAGCAAGACAGCATGCCAGACTATCATTGCCTGTCCTGTACTTCGTAATCTATGCCAATCCAAGCAGGACAACAGCTCAGTGGCTTTTTCTTTTGTCATGTTCTCATCTTTTCCTCTATGACTACCACTGATGATACAGAGAAGGCGGTGAAATAGTATCGCATGACAGAAGCGGCCAGCCACAGCTATCCAATGAAGCTCAGATATCAGATCTCCAGAGCTGTCAGTGAACAGTTCAGAACCACTCTGTACAGGATAAAAGCCTGGCAGAGGAAAAAAGCCAACAGCAAGTCCATTGTAGGTCTACCTGTGGTCTCTCTGAAATGTTCAAGGAGAAAAAAAGGAGGTCAGGTTAGTATGTACACTGCACGTTGCAAGATGCTCACTCAGCATCAGAAATGGATGTTTGAAATCAGTGTCCCGGTCACAGGGACCTATGGATCAGGAAGGACTTACTTCACAGGAAGTCAGACCACTTGCTTCTCTGAGGAGGTTAAAAAAAAACAGCAAGAGAGCCTGCTGGCTCCTCCTTTGTACATAAAACTGGGATTCAACCAGTTACAGATACAAGTGTATAACCCTGAGAGTCAAATGACTACCAAGCTGAAATGCTATGTGTCCTTGCCATCTGGAAGCTACTCTTTTGTGCTTGCAGGAGCATCTGCTTTTGTTTATTCAGGTAATGCTAACAGCGGAAACGTGATTCGCTGCTGCCTTTTACACTCCCTTGTTGTTTATATTTATGCAGTGAGGGAACCAGAAAGCTACCTGGCCAACACACAAGGGTTTTATACCCATCCTGTAAATTTTAAATAGGGGGAGAAAAAAGTGTTAGGAAACAGAGAATCAGCTTCTGTTTGTGCTGAAAACACCAATTCCTCCCTTGCCATGCTGCACTTCCAGAAGCTTTGAGTTACACTGGAGGTGGGAGAGTGTCTGCCCTCTCTCTGCGTGCATCTCTGAGACAGAGTTGAAAATAGCTTCACACATTTATGTGGAGTTGCATTTTTGCACAAACGTGTGAAAGAAACAGTCCTTGGGCACCATCAGGGGATCATCAGTTGACTCAAGGGCTAAATATTTTCACAGCTTTTCCCTTTCAAGGACAATCTGTTGCACAGTTTCCATTTCCTCTGCAAGGAGTGCCAGAACTGGTGGCTCTCCTTTATTTGGCTAGCGAGGGATTTATCATGGGCACAGAGCTTTCATGTCTGGTCCAGCCACCTGGTGTTACCCAGATAATGCCCTGGCCATGCAGCACAGAAGGGGCTGTGCCACTGATGGGTTGCTAACCAGTGCTTTGTTTTCAGCACCTCCTGTGCTACCATCTGTGGTGATGGCTACAACGGCATCCGCAGGCCATGGTCCGGGGAGCGGAAGTTACTCCTGCACAAGAGCAGCCGAGGTACAAGCCACACGGGCACACGAGGATGCCAAGGTCTCGCAAGCTGGAGTGCAGTTATTTTTCTGCTAACAGGGGGAGAGCAGAAGGCTGGATATAAAACCTCCCCCCAAAGAGCGGCTGGCATTTCTGCCCTTGCACTGATCCTGGCCTGACACCAACCATCTCTGTATGTTTGCTTCCAGTATGGTCAATCCTCCCCCAAGCCCCAGCATCCGCTCTCTCAGATCTCAGCCCAACACGCTTTCCCAGTAAGCGATAGGCTTTTCTCTTTTTATCCCGACAAAAGACACATAAGAGTGAAACATGCACCACATAAAGATGCTGCATAAGGATAAACAGACAAGATGACAAGAGGTCTGGGTGATTGAAGGGTAAAACGACTGAATACCTGGCATAATCTCCACAGCAAAACTGGGCAAGAGATCAGCAAGCAGCCCTGTCCTGCCTAGAAAAGACAGAAGGAGGAGAACAAGGAAAGAGGTTACTGCAAGAAAAACACACTCCCCAGCCCCTGCCTTAGCCTCCAGTCCCCTTCCTCATCAGCCCACTTGTACTCTGTTAAGTGAATTCCTATCAACCACAGCTGTCATCCTGCTCGATGTCTGCCTTTTCACTTCTGCGTCCTTGGATTTTATCTTTATCAGCAGAGCTGGGGGGAAAGAATCTGAAACAGAGCTTCTCAATCTAGGCACAAAATGACAAGAAGAAGGAGGTCCCCTTAGTGTGGTTACACGGTAACGTCTTTCTGGAATTATGCTCTACATATGCAAAATGCACAACCTTCAAACAGAAGGATTTAGTTTACATTAAAAATGTAGTGATGTAGTTTGGATAGATTTACAACAGTTTTAACCCAAAGCCTTTGAAAAGTCAGCCACATGCATCCAATGCCCCTGGGTGGTGCTCTTCATGTGGGTCTCTGCAACTGCAGAGACAGCTCCAGGAAAGGAATCTTTAAGTGACTATGTGCTACTTATTTCAAGATGCATGAGCAAGCTAGTGAGATTGTGTGGCATGAAGCCAACTTTCAAGTGAAGCAAACAAACTCGGGAAGGATTTGTGTAGAAATCTGTGGAATCAGAAAATAAAAATAAAAATAAAAATAGCATGTCAACCTCTCATTTATAACTGAATGCAAACTAAATCCAATCCCAAAGGCAACATGGTGCCCATTTGTTTCAGCATTGAATGTCTGGGATTTTTTTTTCTTTTTTTTCCCCTCTGATTTTCCTAATACACCACAAACATCCTGCGTGGTGTTCAGCTACAATTTACACATACCTGTGCACCAGGAGAACAGCCCTATGTGGAGCTATGCTCTGCAGTCTTTTATACAGCACCAGGATCATGCCATGGGTTTTAAAGACATGCATAAGGTAGAAGAGCTGCACTCTGAAGAGACACACGTTGTTAGCTTACCCAGCTAAGGGTAAGCCTGTGCAACAGCGGTAGAAAGCTACCTTTAACCTCCCCACATGCCCTTCAGGTCCTGCACTAAGCAGCACTCGGACACAATGTTGAACTGGATTCCAAGCTCCTTAGCCTCTAGTCTGTCCTTGAAGCGTGTTATAATCGAAGTCCCACTGTCTGTTTTTTCCCAGTGCTTCAGCAGAGGTTCTGTAGACATCAAAAATCCACAAGAACGCCTGCTGAAGCCATAATAAACACACTCTGAATGCAGGCAGTGCTTTGCAACCAGTTGGAACTCATCAAAGCTGCATAGTACTCACAGTAACGCCATCGCGATGAGGCGCTCCTGAAGCCTTCACAAAAGATACAATGCTGATCCTTCAGATAATTTGCTGCTTTCAGGGAGGACCCTTGCCAGTCTACTGCAACATTTTCATCTACATATACAAAGGGCTTCATGACATTCTTTGCAGTTCCTTTTCTGGAAGGATCAAGTCTCCAAACCGCTTGCAGCTAGCTTGTTATGGGCAAGTGTTCATGTATAATTTCTGCTGACAAGATACAGGCATGTATACAATACATGTGTGGCTTAAGTCTTGGGTGCCACAAGTGGGCTCCAAACACATGCACCAACATATGCAAATGTATGCCCTGTGTCACAGTATACGGGATTTACATCACGTTTCACGTGCATATTAAATATATTCCTTACTTCCCAGCACGCACAAGCAATTAAGCAATTTTTGCACAGGCCTCTGTGTGCATGTGTATGTGAACAAAATACACGTGAACCACATGCATGCAGAACATACAGGGCAGGCACAGGCAAACAGCTTGCCTCCCATGTGTTATCTCCACACAAGCTCATGTGCAGCCCTAGTCCAAAAGCAGATGCCAATGGACAGATAGCTGGAGGTATATAGCTAATTTAGGTCTGAGATTTGTGGTACAAGAGGTAAAGGGTGACACCTATAAAGAGCAGAAGCTCCATTTCACAAGTCCAAGCAGGCACCTGTTTCATTTTGAACCTATATAAAAAGCCTTGATCCCTGCTAGTGCTGGGTCTTACAATGCCTTCTGATCTCCAGAAGGAAATACAGGTTCAAGTGGGAATAAGCACCCCTCAGAAGTAACAGTGCTTGTGAACTTGGTAGCTCATTACAAAGACAACCAAAGTAGTTCCTCTGTGCTACCTGTGAGCTGTTAAATGTTTCCCTGCTTGTGCAGCCCCACTGGGCTCTGCTGAGTACCTGCTTGGAGAATTTACTCCCCCTTCCCCACCAGCAGGCCTCAAACAGCTCTAGGGGCCCCAGAGTCACCAGTGGGGACGCACACAGCCCAGGAGGGCCGAGGCAGCAGCCCAGTCCACCCCACTACGGCCATGCCCCCAGCAGCTTTCCCACTCTCCCCCTTCCCTGTCCCAGGCCAAATTAATTCACTGACAACTGTTTCCCACACCGTGTGCTTGAAGCCAACAAGGAGGGGGGTGCCTGCCGCCATGGAGACCCTGGGGTTGCCATGGCAACGGGAGGCTCCTCACCACTGCCCTGCATTGAAGGCAACATTTCTTTTCCTTTTCTTCCCCGCCCGCTGCCAGAAACAAGTGGAACAAAATCAGGCAGGCAGCCAGCCAGGCACTGGAGGGACAGGACAGGACAGGGTGGCTCTGAGGGTGCAAGGGCCACCGCTGACTCCCACCTTCCTGCCCTGTGCAAGCCTGGCCCAAGTATGGGCACACCCCAAAGCCACTTGTGTAGCTGGCAGAGGGGACCCCAGGATGGCACCACAGTGGGTGGTACAGTACCCTAAGCTGTGACAGGGTTTCAGTGAGCAAGGCGTCCTCCATGGCTGAAATGCCAGGAGGTGGCCACATTGCCCATGGCTGGCTGCTCCTTCCATGGGCATTAAGCTCACCTCATTTCTCTCCTGTTTTTTTGGGGGGTTTGTTTGTTTTTGAGGTGGAGGGCTGCAGCTAGATAGAAATAGGTGGGGAGAAAACAATTTGGGGAAGCGTCCTGCCAAGAGACCACCTGGCCACATCACCTCTGCATGGCAGCTCTGCCTGCCCGAGGAAGAGGCCCAGAGGCACTGTGAGACGTGGCTGGGCACAGCTGCAAAGTTGCACCTCTGTGCCCCCACCCGCAAGGGCTATGTGTCCTCTGTGCAAGCTCTCACCCTCGAGTCCCAGCAGACACCCCTGGGCAACAGAGGGAATAGATGATGCCCCCGTTTACCAGGGCTGTCCCAGGTGGCACTGCTGGAGCTAGGAGCTTGTCCTCATTCCAGTACGGATGTGGGACATGCTCCTGTCTCTATTCCCACCGCGCTGCTGCAGGGCTTTACCCACCAGCAGTGCCTCTCACTGGACAACTCACATACCCCAGGTACCAGCAGCCTCAAGGTGTGAGGGAGCCCACAAGCCCCCAGTCCGCACTGGCAGAGTGCAGTGGAAGAGGGCAGGAGGAGGAATGGGAGAGGAAAAGCTCTGAGGGTGCAGAGCAGCTCCAGACGGTGCAGAGATACAGAAGTTAATAGACAGGACGCAGGCAGGTGACAGAGCAAGACAGCAAATAGCAGTAGCAGATCAGGGAGGACCTGGAATCAAGCAGACAATTAACAGATAGTATGCAGAGAAGAAACACAAAAATAATTAGGGTAAGTGGTGCAGCTGAGAAGAAATTATGACATGAATAAAGTAGGCACAGGTGCAGTCAGGAACATGGTAAATACTGGCAATTGCATAAATGTGATAAATATTGACTAAATATGGGAACAACTGTTGAATTGGTCTCCCCATTGAGGATTGCCTCCACAGCCCTACCTGCAGCAGTGGGGCCACAGGAGGCAGCAGATACAGCGGGAACTATTTCTTCCCAAGTGGCTGAAAAATTTGCCAAGCCATGCCACCACAAGAGGCCCCTGGCACAGGACACACACTGAAGGGAGACAGGAAACCACAGGAGAGGTTTTTTTTTTAAGTGAGACGCTCTTCCAAGGACACTGCTGTGAGATTTATTGGGAAAGCATGGCTCTGCAGTAAGTTCCTCCGTGCTCTCTCTGCTTAGAGTAAACCTTATCCTTTCTTCCCATCCTTCTTCTCAACTGGAGGGAGAAACAGCAGCAGCCCTTCTTGGAGATCAAAGTTTTAACAGGCAACAAAGACCTCCAAGGAGGCTGTTGCTATAGCTACCTTAGTAACAGAGGTCTTTTAATCACCCCAGTCTCCTTTGTGAGCAGCGTGTGGCTGTCGCTGGTAAATAAGGAGGAAAAGAAGGGTAAAAAAACCTTGGCAACAAGTAGCACTTCTAAATGGTGTGAAATAACTAACTAGGAGTAGGCTGGGCTAGGACAAGGGGAATTGGACCCAGATTACAAAGGCAGCAAGCAGCACAGTGGTCCACGGCAGGGCAGCAGTGCCTAGTGAGGACAGGAGAAGCACTTTAGGAGTAGGATGACACCAGCAGCCCTCCTGGCATCAATGCCTGCCTTAGATTTTTCAGTGGAAGGCTCCCATGCTGATTACTTCCTTCACCTGCTAGCATTGCCTGCCTTCAGTCACGAAAGCAAGGCACAGCTCAAGTTCAGAGACCTCTAGCCGTGAAGCTGCTTACAGACACCTCCCCGGCTGAGGTGGAGGTGCCCTCTCACCCCCAGCAATAGCACTGACATCTCTGCCAACTGCTGTGACCAAATACTGGCTCAGATGCGACTGGCAGCTTTTCAGTGAAAGAAAGTGAAATCCTAAAACCATCATCTTGTAATGGAAAATTTTGCCAAGAATTTTCCCATCTCCAAAACCACATCAACTTTTATAATCCAGTCTCTCCTGGCACACAATGAGACTCCAAACCTGGCTATGTTTATACCAGCTATTGAATCACTTTGCTGAGTAAGAACTGTCTTATTAGCACTGCATGCCATACACATACATCCCAGTAGAGATTTATCCTCTCTGAAAGCCAACACATGTCTCTATTAGCATGTTAATGACCACACAATATGCTGCGTGTATATGTATCTGCATTCTTGCCTACCTATGGGTGTCAAGATTTGCTAAATTTTTGGTTTAGCCTCTGTTGATGTCTGCTTGTAATACAAACTTCCAAAGACATCAGTTTACCAATGTTAGGTGCTAGCAGACTTCAGAAACTAAGAAAAATATCGTGTTAATTGTTGTTATTTAAAGCATAACAACAGTAGAAGCTGAAGCTTCTAAAAGATTAATTATAACATATTTCACCAAGATATAATTTATGTTGTATCAGCTGCTGAGCTGGATGGAAGAAAGAGCAGAAAATTGCTGTCTAGCAAAGCACATGGATCACAAACCGAAATATCAAACCCACAACTGGGATCAGTGAATCACTTTCCTGCCTCTTCCAGGAATTTTATATCCTTGGGAATGAAGCCACCATTTTGTGAAGTATGGTCTCAGCTATGTAAAGTCCTGTAATGCAAACATTGCCGAGCTTGCACAGACCCATGCATTTCAGGGTAGCCAGCGGTGCCTCGCTACACCTCCAGCCACTGCTCCATACCTGTACCAGCTTGGGAGGGGTGCACTACAGCTGGTTCCACAGGACCCTGCACCTGAGGAGTAAATTCTGGCTCTCGGAAAGGCTTATTGGGTTATATGCAGTACCATGCAATTAAGCTGGACTGCTTCCGGATGTCAGCTGGGTCACATGAAGCTAGGATGGGGTATCTGCTGACACTGCCCTGTACCTCTATTTCAAAGGTTACTCCAGGCACTCTGCATCCACTTGCAGTTCCCTTCAACAAAGGCTCCAATGAATGACTTTACTGAAGACAACTGACATCCTGATATAAAAAGCAGTGCCCAGGGGATACAAATAACAATTTGATTAATAGCACTGTCTGTATTTCAAGAAACAGGACACTCAGCTGCTAGCTACCAAGATAGAAATGTAGACAATCTTAAATTTAGGGTGCAGTCTTTTGGATTCAATCACATCAGTTCTAAAAATTAAAAACCTATGAAGTTGCAAATGGATTCACTAGCCCATTTCTAATGTTAGCAAAGGGTTCTACATTTCTAGTAATACACAGGAGTGCACAGAGCATCACTGGACCCCTGTTGTGGAACTGCTAAGCTCTGTACCAGTATAGTCCTGCTGCAGCAAAAGCAGAGTTCATACAGACTCCAGCATGCTAGACCAGGTCTGGGGATTCCAAATGCCACCAAAGTAAAAAATACAAAACAATGAAAGAGTAATAGTACTTTCTGATTTAGATTCTTTCCTTACTCTACAGGAGGGTAACTACTAGGCAATCTCCTTCCGTGTTTCTGAGGCACAGAGGTTCCAACCCTGTTTCCTTGCCTGCATTTTATTCCCTTAGAGAGGGTTAAAGTCCTTGACTAAGCAAAACCTACCAAATGGTCTTTTCAGCAAAGCACATAAGCACATGCTTATCATCAGGTACGCTTTATAAATCCTATCAGCTGTGCTGAGCACAAATGGATATAATTAAACACTTATATGCTTTTCTGAAATAGGCCTGAAATTAAGACACCACATGGGATTTGGTGATGCGACCTAAAAATTGACCAGCCACTTTCTGTGTCAACATGACACATCCAGGTGACAAATCTCGATATGCAACCCCATCATGACCCAGGCTGAGCAGCTACCAAAGACTTCACTGGAAGTCTCTCCGATTGCTTCTCTAAGAAAAAAGGAATACTGTAATTTGCTCAGTTTTTGGATTTTGCTCAAAGTTGCGATAAAACAACTTTTGACCAGTTTTTAATGGCCAAAAAGAGCAGGTTCAATGGTTATAAAGAGCAGGAACCTCCACTTTTAGCTAAGGAAATTCACACTACTCTATGGGTACTGTTAGGTATCTACCATTTTTGTCTCTCAGACCTTTCTGGGTTTCTACATAATATTAAACTGCCCTGTCCAGTACTATCTTTCTCTAACCTAACCACACCTTTCATCTTGGCATTAGTATGAAAACCCTAGAAGGGATAATTTCCTATTTCCTTTTCCATTCCGATTTTTCTGTCTTCCCCCACTGAGAACATGAGTGGGTAAAAATTCTACTCTATTCAAAATTCTAATCTATGCTTAAATTGTGTAGCAGCCCCAAAATAAGCAATGTAAATTAACTGTGAAAGTCCACTGTCAGCAAGGAGCCAGTAGCAACGTGCTGTGGGAGTCGCAGTGTCTGCCACACACACTATCCCTCCACTGCTCCAACCACTCTCACAGGGAATCTGCGTTCCACCCAAAGAACACCAAACAGCAAACAAAACCCTTTTACCACGTCTCCTACAAAGTGCTCCAACCTATATCTGTACTCAGTGTCTCCCTCCAAGCAGTTAGATGGAATAAAAAACATCCCAAAAGATGCCAGAATAATAAGAACTGGCATTTTCACCACTGGCTGCTTCCTCCTTTAGCTGTCAAAGGGGAAAAGGCAAGGGAAAAGGAAGAAAAAAAAATACCAGCAAAGACAGGAGGAAAAGGTTAAGGTGGGAAGGGGAATGAAGGAAAGGAAGGAGGGGAGATGGGGAGGGAGGGAAGGGAACAGGAAGGAAACCTAGAATCACTCCAAAAGCTGGAATGTTGCCTCCACACACACTACCCAGGAAAAGAAATATACACAAGCTGTGCTAAACAGCATGAGGCAGAACAAAGTATGCCCACGACAAGTATGTTTTCGTACTGCTGCCAAACTGAGTAGAGTGCTGCACAAAGTGCAAGGTCAGACCTATAGGTTGTAGCGAACAGAAAAGCAGATGTGGCCAAGGTAACACAGCCTAAACCACGTTTCCTCCCAACATAACCAAAGCAAACGGGGGCCAGGGACAGCATCAAGCTAGCTTCAGAGGGGATTTCTTTGTTTTCCTACTCACATAGTCTTCTGTACACACTGAAAAACAGGTTCTTCCTGTTACCATGGCACTGTTTCATCACTGGTGTCTGAGCACATTTGTAGACACAAAGAAGAGGAAGACACCAAATCCTCAACAGGAAGATGAAGAAGGGACAAAATCCGGCAACCCGTTATAATGCAGCCACAGGCAACCCCTCTGGAGGGGCGACATAACAGCTACATCTGTCACCTGGCAGAGATAACTTCACCTGAACTAACAGGTCAGCCTGGTGCCTGTTACTAACATACATGATACACAGTCATACCACAGATTTAGACAGGGGCATGACACAGTTTTCTGGAGGGACCCATTCTCCAATTGTCCATTGCTTGACTGACATCTGAAGGAGTAAGGGGAGGTAATGGCACTGTTAAAGTCACACATTCAATCTGGTTTACATTGTGATGACAACTCCAACTCCAAAGACAAATGCCAATGAAACTGACCTTAGCCGTGAGAGCAAAGGCACTTAACAGACATCTTCTATCACAGGCATATCACCTGCACACTACAGACCCAATCTTTTTAACATTTCCTTTACAGGATGTACAGAATCTGCACACTCAAGAACCATGCAAGCATGCTGAGCAGACAAACACTGTCAGCAGGTCTTAAGTTCATTGGGAAAAACTCATCTTGCTCTCCTGGGTCAGTCTAGCAGTGAAGTACTACAGCTGGCTCAAGGTAGTGTCAACAAATGTCCCTGAAAGGCACATTCCACTCTGCTTTTCTCTCCTAGCAGGGATGTGTGCTTTTTTGACTTTACAGTGAGCTGGACTGTGGAAGCCATCACTCAAAGCTAATCCTGCAAATAGGAAATAAACTGATCCTGCTCACCACACTGCTCAAGTGAACTTAACAGAGAGCCAAGCAAGCATACCACAGAGAGGACAGGTGCTTTTAGTGGGATCACCCACTCAGATCTGATTAGGGTGACCGTGAAACTGCACCTCTAACTGGACAAGCAGCATCAGGCAGATGGAAAAATCTCCCAAACTGACACACCCAAGTAGATTAAAAACAGTCCCTCTTGACATCCTCACAGGTCAAAAGAGTGTGACAAAGGGAACGTTTAAAGAATGCAAAGCATACGATTTATGTCTTCTGGGCGTCTATTTTTAAAAGATTGTCTCAAGTGCTCACTTCGCTGCAAGTTTATTGTTTTATGCCTTAAAAACAAGGGTTCTGACTTTCCACAGCCCTGCACTTTCTGTAGTCATTTACGCCTGTATAATGTGTGAACAGTGTGGGTGTAAACATTACTATTCTGGTTTTTTAGAGTTTGCCACCCACTTTGCCTAGGTGTGGATGACTGCACAAGGTGCAAGGCAATGGCAAAGGTACTGTGGAGACTGTTTTACATAGATCTTACACCCATAATAATATGGCGCACCAATATGTAGAGAGAACGAGAAAGCAGAAGGAAAGATACATCAGCTATCTGCTGAAAAAGCAATCTGGCAAGAGGGTTTACCAAGCACAAGCAGCTCCACTGATTCCTCATTCTTGCCCTCCACATCATCTGGTGTGATAATAAGGCAGTAATAGAGCCCACTGTCTCCCCACATCAACTTCCCAATCTGAAGATCTGCATCTGAAAGGCAAAAAAGAAAGGTCAGGCTTTTCCTCCAAAACCTACAGCAAGAGTGAAGCATTGAAAGCACTGGATCTGTCTTTGTGTCCCAAATCCATTCCATTTCTTTACTAAGAAAAGGGGTTAGCCTTATCCAGAATATCACAGTATTCAGGAAAACAACGTGCCTGGGACTCTGTGGCTGTTAAGTGGGAAGACAGGTAATGCCACAGAGGCAGCTCACTCTGCAAGTGCCAAGAGCAGGACGAGTAATTAATGTTACTCTCTGTCCTTCCCATCACCTATGGCCAGAGGTCCCAACAGTATTCATGCTATGCAAGAAGGACTTAGACGGTTCCTCCTCTACAGCATTTCAGTCATCAACTGAAGTGGTTACACGGAGAAAAAGGAAAACAATCCTCCTTGCTCAGGCTGACCACACGCTCTCCACACAAAGGAGCCTCCACTTCTGCCTAGGTGATCTCCCAAGTCAAGCAGAAGCCTTGTACTTCTGCGGAATGAAGTTTCTCACACAGCCTTCCAGGCCAAATGTTTAAGGACCCTCCCATCCCCACATCTCTGCCCAACTTGACTTCACCCCATGGAAATTACTCCCCTTCACAATGCCCAAGACTGTGTGGGTTTAGGTTCATGATGGGGTAAGCTGGTGAATTCCAGATTTGAGCAGACATGAGGCATAGGATAATTTTACTATTTTGGAACTGGGAAAGAAAATCAGTGATATTTACAAGGAAGAAAAATCTAGCCCACAGAGACTGAATTCATACCTCTCTTGCTGGCACTCCATTGTTAAGGAAAATCTATATACAGAGGAATATGCAGAAGTCAGGAATAAAAACCTTCCACTTCACCCCAGGGAAAAGAATACTGTATCAGGGTTGAAGACCCACATGGAGTCTGATGAAGGGAAGCACCAAAGGAAATGGCCTTTGGTTCTGCAATTGCTTGGTTGAATCCTAAATGTCTGACATACAACAGGTCCCTTCCAGCAGCCTTTCCTAAGGGAGTTAAGTGAACAATTACTGCCAGCCTCCAGTATCCCAAATCAGCAATTTCCATTCCAACCCACATCAAGCATCACCAGGGTACAAGATTTACCATGGACAATGCTGACATCTCTTTCCTTATAGAAGTCCCCTATAGTGATAGCAGATCCTTGTTTGGAAGCCACAACGCGGACTGTCCTCCTGCTGTCCACACAGTCCAAGTAGGGATCCCAGTCCAGGTTCCTCTTGCTCATTGTTTGTAAACCAGAAGTCACCATACCCAAAGCTTCTCCCATCCGGTCCTGGCAGTAAGATTTAAACCTCCACTGCACCACAGCTGGTTGGGTGGAAGAAGTAGAGAAATGGCAGCGAAGTAGAGCAGGCTGAAACAACATGGCCACCTTCTTCTTCTCAGGCACGGTGACCTGCAATCCTTTCACCTCAGCTAGAAGACAAAAACATAAGCGTCACAGACTTTGGCATTGTCTGAAGAGGAAGCTACTGCATTTTATCATGACATCATTTTCTCCACGTACATATAATTAAAATGTCAATCTGTTTCAGGTGTTAGGGTAGAATACTGCTCAACGCATGTAAGGACGGGCGTTGGCAGCTCAAGTTTGCTTTTTTGCATAGCCTACAACCTACAAGGAAAAATGATGGGGCTGAAGGCTCAAATGTAGTATCCTCACACTCTGTAGAGACCCTAACAGAGTAGCACAATGATTCACAGCTTCTGTGTCAGGTTCACAGATAAGAAAGAGATATTTTAGGGATGACCATACTCCACTCCTACATCTGTTCAGCCAAGGGGGCAGATCCTGAATTTATAGCAGAGTAAGTCATGGTCCTCCCAATTTCAGTGGCATCACACCTCCACTTTGAAACTTGGGCAGCACACAGCTTCTGGCCCAGCCCATTGTGCTCTGGTGCCCAGTTAGTGCTGCCTGCTCTGCCAAACTAGAGCTGCACAAAGGACTACATCCAAATTGCACAGCTCCTGCCAGGGCTGGCATGTAGCACTGAAAGAAATTGCTCTATGTGAGAAGTGCAGAAAAAATGGCCCAAACACTCAAGTTTTCCACATTCCCAGAGAGCAGATGGATCTCTACACGTAATGTTTATCTACCAACTGACAGAAGACCTGCAGCCTGGAGCTGATGTATTAAGGCCTCAGAGAAGACGCATGGGACTGCTGCCACATCCTTGTGTAGCTTAGGGAAAAGCCACGAGTCAGTGAGCAAAGCCAGCAGCGAGCCCTCGGGAGAGTGAGGTGCTCCATCTACCCGCAGGGGAATGACCAAAAATTCCATGCATGCCCTTCATTGCTCCCCTCCTTCTCGCACTGCAGGCAGCCATGGCAGGGAGCATTCACACAACACTGGAAACGCACGCTGACACTTTCCCAAGCAGGGATGTGCCAGCCTGTGGAGAAACAGAAACAGGCCAGGAGCACAAAGGAAGTTTGAAACCAGGGGCACTCTCTGCAGCTGAAGGGCAGCAGGGCCTGAAAGTGAGAAAATGGAACCAGTTTTGGTATGGGAGCTATTAATCATGGCAGGTCCCTCCATCCAGTTACCACACACCCCCAGGTCCAGAGCAGTGCACCATGAAAAAGAGGACAAGACATAAGGAAACAGTCAAGAGTAAAGCAGAAGACATTTACACATCATGAGGGACTGATGGACTAAGGGGAAACTTAAGAAGACATGAAAGACTGAGGACAAAGAAAGGCTTCCTGACGTTGGAAAGCAGTAGGGGAGAAGGGCAAATGCCAAGAAATAACAAAACAGAGCAAGGATAAACTATCAGGGTAAGTATAGGAAGCAGAAGAATAAACAAGACAACAATCATGGAAGCAGGAAGCTTATGTTCAGCTGGAAGAAACTGAAGAAGATGTCTCAGCCTAGGTCAAAATAATTTCAAAGGGCTGGAGCCAGGTTGCAGAAGATTAAGAAATTATATAGAGATGAGAGAAAATGGAGTCAGCAAAAATAAACCACCCTCTCCAGGAACTAGAGATGAAAAGGAGATGGAAGCTGGCAAAAGAAAGTGAAATGACAGGAGATCTCTTTAGGATGTGGGGAAATAAAGGCATAGACTGAAGCACTGAAGCTTAAAGCAGACAGAGAGCAATAAATGCATCAACAGGATGAAAACAGCAGGCACGAAAGGACAAAGTCAAGTTGGAGACAGCTGCAGACCTGAGAGCAAAAGCAGAGATCTCAGGATCAGGAGTCAGAACCAAAGCAAAGAGGCTGGACCAAAACCAAATATTAATTTCAACAAGTTATCAATGTCCAAACTGTAAATCACAGTGAAGTCTATAAATATCAGTCAGGGATAAAAACACAGTACGGACAGAAGCTAGGGGAAGTGTATTTCAGAGAAGCAAGATATTCACTAACAAAGAGTTACAGATCTAGGTAGGATTTGACCCTGGGGACTACTATGTGAAGGCTTGCTGTGCACAAGGATGTTACAGCATTTACACAAGAATGCTATATTATGCATATAATGAAGGCATGACATTATGGATCTTGAACTGGTGCCATATGGAAGTTAAACGGAAGATGTCATTAGTTTTGGCAGAAGTGCCTGGACCCAAATCCAAGTGCTGAACTATGAGTGTTCTCCAGAGTACCACAAAACACAGCTGAGGTCCCATCAAGAAGCTCCCACAGGAGAGGGGTCATGAGGTAGCTCCTCTGCTTCCCCGAGGTGTAGGCGGAGAGATAACTCAAGAAGTGGCAGCTGGGATGTTTCTGCCAGGCCTCCTGTTCCCAGGGACTAAAGAAGCAAAAACATGGGGGCCACACAGCGCTAAGATAATGTCACCACTTGCTTCTCAAAGTGAACCAAGTGGTGACATGATCTTATTCTCTCCTCTCCAAAGACCCATGCTTCCCAGGTTACATCTGAACGCAACAGACATGACAAACACTTTGCAAAACAAAAGGGTCCAGGTCAGACCTGTATCTGGCAACTCTATGCCTGACCCTACAGTTTGTGGCCAAAGACAGCATGTGACATGAGCTGATCAAGTGACTCATCACGTTACTTCAGGTTCAGGGATAAAACAGTGACACAGTGAATTTTTAAATCTTTCCCCTGTGAACAAAGTACGCTGCTTAGTAAACACAGCACTGTAGCCCCCTTTTCTGTTAATGAGATTAATGAGTTTGGCAAGCCAGGGACTGCTTTAATAAATGATTAGCTAAGCTTTAGCAAATTCTCATCTGACTAACTTTCCCCACCCTTCCCCATGTGAATATCTATATCAAGATAAGAAAGTAAACGCAAAGCAGCTTTTGGGAAAACACAGGAATTCTTTTTCTACCCAAAAGCATTTGCGAGGAGATGTGCAATAAATTATCTGGCACCTTGCATATCCTATCCCAAGCTCTTTATTAACTTCTGAGGTATTATTTTTGGATCCTTTCCAGAAATAGCATTTAAGAGCAACATAGTGTCTCAGATTGAGAGACTGGAGCAGTGAAAGTTCTAGATCTATTTAAGTCAAATTATATATAATTATATATGGCTGAAATGGGAAATTACATACCTGTTATTTCCTCTGCCCAAAAAAAAAAAAAAAAAAAACAAAAAAAACCACAACACCTCAGAATTGACTCATGCATGATGTCACTGCTATAACAGCATCCAACAAAAAGGCCAACAGGATGTTCAACTGCCTGAAGACAAAATGGTGGCTTTGCACCTATCAGTTATGTCCATGCATGTAAATTACAGAGCTCTGCTTAGGACCTCCTCAACTTTAAAAAGGAACTTCTGACCTCAGAAATATTCAGGAGACTAGCCAAGACAAGAAAAGTCCCAGGTGTAGCACAGGACAGAACTAGAGGCTGTTTATACAGCAAAGCAAAAAAGAGTGAAAGATGTCAAAAGGGATGACAAACTTAGTGACAGTGCCGTGGTAGCTCTTTGTCTAGTTTAATATAAGTAGGACTAAAAAGAAACTAAATTGTGCTCTGCTCTGTTCTGACTAATGCAGACAGAGCAAGATTAGCCCTTATTTCAAAATCATCATGGAAATGTAATTCCTGCACTCCAGAGAAGCAACCTGCTCATTGTGAATTTCACAACTTTTTAACTTCCACAAGAAAAATCTAGCCTGTGGGAGTCTCATGACCATGTGACAATTTTGCTTTCCTTCTTTCTTGTTTTCCTAAATCCCCCAAAAAGGTCTGCAAATATTGATAGTCGTGTGTCTTGAAAACACGGATATCCTTACTCTCAGAAAATAAAAAGAATCCATGGGTTTGTGTCTGTGCATGCTCCTAGAAAAACAGCTTAAAAATACATGCACTTCAAAAATATAACTGTATGGGGTTTGTCTGTTTCTCATCAATGTGCATTTGTCTCCTTTCTCTGATTATTTTCCTAAACTATCCTCAGATTATGCATCTAAACTATGCAATCAACACTACACACAAGCTATCACTAATACATTTTAGTGGTGATTAAAGAACATTCCACGAAGCGATTACAGAGGGGATATTTGTAAGGACGCATTTGAGCCTTGTGAGCCTGATCTTCATAAGCGCCTTCCAAGAGTAAAAGAGAGAAAGCAATTGAGAGGTGATAACGTAGGCTCCTGCTTTTCACTTGTCCGCTAGAGGAGTCTATGCCTCCCTGATGTGAGATGAATCCTAGAAGATTTAGCTTCACCACACAGCCTTAAGTTAGCCTTTACGAATAGAATCATAGAATGGTTCGGGCTGGAAGGGACCTTAAAGATCATCCAGTTAGAATAAAGTTGATCTGAAGCACTAATCCCTGTAGATAATGGCAAAGTCAAATACTGTAGCTCAGTGTGATAGGTCTCACACTGCATCTTCCTAGGGCCTAAGATGATATTTGAGTCCAAGAGAAGGCAGCACACATTATTCTCCAGGTCAGCATGGGTCTCCCTATCTGTGCATGCAACACATCCCTCTCTTCACAATTACTTGGCTCACACTACCACTTGCCTGAGGCACTACAGCTGATGCTATGAAATTACAAAAAATTACAGCCTCTGATTTTACACACCATTATTGATAGGAGTGGCAGCTGTGCACACAGAGAACAGAAATCCTTGGGCTCTGAGCCAGGCACCTCAGGAAGACTACTCCTAGATGATACCAAAGGCCTTCGGAGGAAAAGTGTACATCCACTGGTAAGAGGCAGTGCCCTAGGGTAGTCTGTATCACTCCCCAAACAAAGTAAACCGTTGGGCAAAAGGATGCTACATCTTTCTGGTTTGTTCCTTGAACACCATGCATCAAATAGTGTTCTTTGCCCCCCTGCTGAATGCAAGCACACTATCCATACCTTCACATCAGCAACACTTTCAAATGTGGATCAAGCCTGGAGCAGTAAGTACAAGATCTGGGCTTCAAGACTGAAAAGTCAGAGATGAGAAACAGATGTGTAAACAAGTGGATGGAGAGCTAGTGGGATCACCGAGATTGTGTGGCACAGATTTTTCCCTACTTTTGCTAGACTAGATCAAATTCATGCAATTTATCAGCAAAAGCCATCACCATCAATTTGTGTTGAGTGGCTTGCGGGAAATGGATTGCATGTCTTGGTCTGGTTCCTATCAGATTTGTGTTCTTTGTTTGGTGGCCACTAATTGTCAACCTTTTTAGCCAGCAAGAAATCAACACCTAAATAGGTCAGCTGCAGCTGAGGTGAAATGACAGTACTGCTTTTTACAGCTCCATAACAAACCCAAGAATTTCAGCTCCCTAACTGCTTAACCTGGAAAGGGACAAAAACAAAACAGCTGGAGAAAAGCGTAACCTTGCGCACGCAACACCCACAGCACGGAACCTCAGCACAAAACCACTCTCTGTGGAACACAGCCCAGACTCTGCAAACTGGCTGCAGGAGGCATCGCACTTCCTGCAGTAGACATTCCTTGCCCTTCTCCATTCTCTGTGATGCTGTGCCCCATGCACCCCATGCTCCTGAGTTCCCTAAGGAAGCACACAGCTCTGAAACAGCAAGGACTATGTAAGGGCCTTCTCATGAGCACAGGACATTTCATGGGCTTTTCTAGGTATTGATCTCTCTTCAGCAGCTTCCCTGTGCTCATAACACTCCTTATGAGTTGCCCCTTCACACATTCACAAAAGCCACCCTGGATGTTTTCAGGAGAATTATCTCAGCTTTGGCCACCACATCAATTTCACCCCATCTTACTACTGTCTGACAGATGTTTCAATTGTCAGATGACTCTTGATTTAGTCTTGGTTCACCACCCCAGAAATCATTCCCAGAACTATCACTCAGCAACTGGTCACCACCAAAAAGTCTGAGAATGAAGGAAAAGAAATGGAAAGACTCTCCAAGCCATATAACATCAAGTCACAACACCCGTCCATGGGATGGCACTGGAATTTCCACTGCTGTCAGTCCCACTCAAGCTGATCTCACAGGAATAAAATGCAAGAAAAATGTCAGATTTCTTCCCAGTTACACTATGCTTATGCTGTGTGCAGCCAGTCAAGGGAGGTCAGGTGAATACTTTAAATCAAGGCAGATAAAAACGTCCATCCATTTTCCTGCCTTCCCAAGAAGTCTGCTCAGCCTGGCCAGGAAACATCAAAGCACAACTGTGCTCCAGCACGTCCTCTCTGCCTGCTCTCCTGAACTGTGGCTGGGGAAGCAGAGGTAGTAAATCTACTGGCCTTTGTGCTACACTATTGCATTGCAGTGGCTCTTCTGCACAGAGATAGTAAACAAGTACCAAATTACTGGTGAAAAATTACTTAACAGGGAAAAAAGATCACACTTGAATGTGGACAGCCTTCTAAGCGTCATCTTTCCAAGCTTAGCCTGAGTTATGAGGTGTAAAAAATTTTGCTCTGCTTGTTCTGTAGGTAAAACTGGAGTTCAGTCTCCAGTGCAACAGTTCTCTCTAGTTTTAAATGCATTAGGAATTACAGCATTAATAAGAACAACAATAAACATGAGGGAAGGATTCATTCCAGAATCAACCTGCACTTGGTCATTCACAAGAACCACCTTTACACAAGTGCTTAAGGATACTTGGTACATTATACCTTCTTTTTCTAGAGTGAGAAGAACACAATCCCACACATTTCTTAACCGGTGTCACTTCACAGGAAGGAATAAAGGATGACCTGCTCTTCATCCTTTGCTGTTGTTACTAAAACACTAGCCTTAGGCACATGGGATAGCAGGGTAGGAGAAAGGGACAGCACACCAGATCCATTCTACCTCATGGAGGATTTTTTGAAATTGCAGTAAGAAGTCACAGTGTACAAAAACCAAATAAAAGATAAATGCATAAGCCAAAAAATAAAGACAAACAAAGGACAGAAAGGAATTACTGCTGCGAGAAAAGGAACTAGGGAGTGCTGATTAGAAATTTCTCAGCCCACTTGGAGGAGGGAGGAGGGGAGAGAAGGGGGCTCAGAGCCTCTCTCTCTTTCTTGGTCCCTTTTGTCTCCTTGCTTCCCCCCCTCTTGCACTCTGCCTCTTACCCTGGCCCCTCCACCTCCCAACCCCCACTTCTTTTTCCCAGAGTGGAGTGTACCACTCCAGCTGGATTAAGGCTCCTTACCTTGATGCAAATCTTTCATTCCTTTGCACAGCCACTGGGGAGAGGAAAACCTTTAATCCATGTTCGCTAGCCTCTCTCCCTTTTCTGTGCACACGCTCACACACATGCACACACTTTTGCTGATTTGTCACGAAAAAGGGCAGCAGTATCAGCTCTGTCACCGGGTGCCAAGGCTGGAGGGGAGCAGGCCGACACTGGCCGCTTCCATTTCTCAGCACAGGGCTCTGGCTAACCTGTTGCCTGCCAGAAGCCTTTGCCTGCCGGCAGTCGACACCACCATCAGCAGACAATCCTGTCTCAAAAGCCCAGGGCTAGAGGAGACTGGAAGGTCTTCTTACTGCAGCAGTATCTCTCCCTCTGCATAGACTTTGCATGCTCCAAACCACAGCCACTGCCAGCAATAACGAACTATCTTTAATGGAGGGAGAAAGGTGTCAGCAGCCCAGTCTTTTAGCTTGATGGAATAGTCCTGATCTAGCCAGACTTGTCCAGATAATGAAGCTCTTCAGAAAAAGGGAGGGATGTAATGTCATGTTTATCTACACCCTGTACTCCTTTACAGTACCTGGATGCTATTTATCAGCATACTCCTCTGGCTAGCAGGAAAGGAGTGGTATTTGGGGGTGGCTGGCACCCCAGGCCAACTCGGTGAGGTGGGACATGTTCGGAAGCAGACAAATGGCAGGGAGGCAGGCAAGGAGGGAGGATGATCTGGAAGCTGCCGAAGCCCCAGCTGAGGCCGCGAAACTCTGGAAGGGAGCAGTAGGCAGGCACCAATGCTGAAGATGACTCAGAGTGAAAAAGCTAGGAAAGGGGTGGGCGGATCGTAGGAGAGAGGTGTTATGACTAAAAGCCGAATTTACCGCTTTGTGAATCCTAAATTTGAATAGGAAGAGGGAAGAGCCTGAGGTCTTTTTTGTGGGATACATTGATGGTGGTGGTGGGAAATATATGCCACATAATACAAGCGTGTCTGCTTCTTCCA